CCCGTAAACCTCACCCGGAAACTCAGAATAAAAACTTCTCTTTAACCTCACTTTTGTGTGTCCTCTTCTTCTTACTGTGGCCTTACATTCCCAACTTCTACTTTTGAATCCTCTCTTCCTTTCCGCCGCGACCCCTTCACCGCAACCTTAAAATTACCAAGCAATACCAAGACCTCAACCTTAATCTGAATTAGGAAAGGATACACTCCGGCAATTCCCTAGTTTCTTGTGTGAGCATAATCAACATTCAACCACACTCTTTCAGAGGCCAAACGATCCCGCCCCAGATTTCTCCTGTAACTTGTCTATGCAAGGGAACGAAGTCGTAAGTTAGAAAGAACTCCACCGGCATCTCAACTTCCGTCAAATTCAAAATACCACAGCCTTCCACCAACCCTAGTGCTTTAGAATTTAAGCTTTCCTACAACGCCTATAATCATTAAGGGACGATGAATTCCTCACCATATTCTCCATTTGTGAGTGACCCCCAACACTAAAGAAAAGTCCCTCCTGAAGAGACACAGAAAACTAGTAACAGCCATTTTATGGAGGAAAATGTGGTGGAGAACTTGCTCCCCATGAGCTAAGAACAGACCGGACCCTGAGTTCACATACGGGCCCTTAGTAAATCCCTGTCCACGGACAAGCGAAGGGATCCCACCATGTTACCTGTAATCACACCGAGAAAAGCTGAAGAGCGTCCCGTGCTCGGCGTCCGGAAAGCGGATGTGGCTGCCGCGCCGCGACAGCGCAAGAAGCGGCGGCGCCCGAGCGACAAGAGACAGGCTGCGAGGACAGGTCAAGAGTCGCAGCAGAGCGGGGGCAGCGCCTCGACCCGGAACCGGAGCCTGCGGTGCACCTGCCAGGGCAGCAGGCGGACTAGAGACTGTGGAAAATCTACCTCAGGCCTGAGCAGGAGCGCGAACAAGCACCCTCCTGGCGAGCACGCCGACTAGAGTCTCAGGAACAAGCTAAGTATTCCCAGAGCTGAAATGAGGACCACATGACTATCTACCAAGCCCAGAAGGCACTCTTCCGCCTCCGGTTTCTGAAGTCTCGGTGCAGCATAGGAGAGAATCCTGAGGGAAACAACGAGTGCTCGAAATTGTGACCATAGGGTTTGTAAGGTCGCAGTAAGAAGAGGACGCACAAAAGTGGGATTAAAGAGAAGTTTTTCTTCTGCATTCCCGGGAGAGGTTTAAGGGTCCCCAAGAGGGGCCCGGGCAAGGTTCATGGGTCCCTGAGAGGGGCCAGAAAAGTCACGCCACCCGGGTGAAAGAAAAGGGTTTTTATAGTGTTACTTTTCCTGTTCCTCAGTGGATCGGATTGAGAGCAGGGTATATGTTACAGGAACCAATAAGGTTAAAGCACCCTATTAGCATGGGGGCAAGAAGCAGAGCTGAAGCACTTCATTAACATGTTGTTGTTTGCCATCGAGTCGGCCCGACTCATAGCGACCCCTCCTTGGGTTTCCGAGGCAGTATCACTACGGAAGTAGGAATGCCCAACCTTCTTTCCGAGGAGTGGCTGGTGGGTTTGAACCGCCAGCCTTCTGGTTATCAGTCAAGTGCCTTAGCCACTATGCTACATAGTGGGTAGGAAATGGTTGGGGGCTTTCATGAGTAAGAGTCAGGTGCTGGGGTCTTTCCTAAGTAAGGATTATGTGCTGGGGTTTGGTATGGGCTCTGGTCAGGTGCCTCCTTGCTTGACCAGTTCTTATAATTCCCTCCAGCTTAATCATACACCCGCCTGGCCAGCAATGCTCCTGCCTGACATTGTAGCCTTTTTTGACGATAAAGGGCGAAGTTATCATTCTGGCTGGTTCCTACTGAACGGGGTAGAAGTGGGGGTTAAAGGCTGGTGTCAGTGGGAATTGGGTTGGTTGGTAGGGGAGTGTACGAGCGTAGAAGTAGTTGGTTAACAATAACTCTGGACATTTGAGTCAGTTTTGGAGGAATCTAAGGAAGCAACGGACGAAAAGGAAAATGAAACTTAATAGTATAAGAGGTCTTATAAGGGGTAGTAACCAGGCTGTTAGTGGTGACTGGAGCCATTCAAATGGTGAGGTTCCTGTTCCATGTCTATTATGTAGTTCCTCACTCAGTCGAGTCAATGTATTGAAGTTTTGTTCCACCAGACAGGATTCATTGATATAATAGCAGCATTCTTCTTTAAGAAAGAGGCAAGTTCCACCTTTTTCTGCTGTTAGTAGGTCTAAGGCTCTTCGATTCTGTAAAGTAACTTGGGCTAAAGAAGTTAGTTGTTGCTGGAGGGAGGCTAGGGAATCTGCAGTGGTTTCAAGTGTTACTTCCAGACGGGTTTAAAATCTTGGGCTGATATTATACTATGACCCAAGGCTCCACCTGCTATTCCTACTACTACAAAAGCAGAGGCTAAACTGAGGCCCACCATGATAGGTAGAAAAGCAGTTCTTGTGGTTCTGGTTTCAAGTAATAGCCAGGAAAATTCGGATTCCCCATATAAAGTGAGTTGGGATGTTATTGTTACTGGAAAGCAGGGGCTTGGAGTGGTGGAGTTCAAACATTTAGTTAAAGTTCCATTACACCAAAAGTAAGTGCTGGGTGCTGCAGAGGTACAGGTCATAATAAAGATGTTTTGTGAGCAGAAACTGTGCCTCAGGGGGGTAGATAAGGTGGTGTTGGTGCAAAAACAAACTTGGAAGGATGTGTCTTGTTAAGGGTTTCGGTTTCCAAAGGGGCATTTGTTTCAGAGGAGTGGTGCAGGAAGTTCTAGAAGGTTGTCGTGGGTGCGGACAACGGCTGGCCCAGTGGCCTTCCTCTCCGCGGGGCTCCTGTTGGGAGGTTGCTTTTGGCTGGTCGAGTAGGTGCCGGCCTCAGGGCTGCCACTAAGGCTTGGCTTGTAAATTGGCCTTCTGGCGAGTGTGGGATTCCCTATCTGCCTCAGCCCATTCCTCCCGGGTGTTAAAGACTTTAAAGGCCACATTCACCAGGTCTCAGATGGGAGTCTGGGGGCCCTCCTCTGCCTTTTTCAGTTTCCTTCTAATACCAGGAGCAGATTGGGTGATAAAGTGAGTAGCTAAAACAGTAGCTCCTGTTGGGAAGGTTGGGTCTAAGTGACTATATTGCGTAAGGGCCTCAGTGAGGTGATTAAGAAAAGTTGCTGGGTTTTCATTAGGGAGTTGAGTCATCTCCCGCAGTTCATCGAAGTTAACAGCCTTCTGTGAGATAGCCTGTAGGCCCGCTGGGAGGCACTGGAACATTTTGTCCCTGCGAGTGTGGGCATTCTGCCCAGACTGGGTGTCTAGTTGATATTCCCATCCGGGGTCCTGCCCAGGAACGGCTTCTGGTCCCACTGGCATGGTAGAGTCAGTTACAGGAGTTAGATTGGTATGTTCCCGAGCAGCCCCAAGAACCCGTGCGCTTTTGTCAGAATTTAAAGTGGAAGGAAGAATGACATAAATGTCATGCTAAGTCATAGGCTTGAGAGAGGCAATGAAATTCCTTAATGTAGGTGGTGGGATTGTGAGAAAGGGAACCCAGACCTTTTTCAATCTAAGTTGGTGAAGGAGAAAGGAATATGGACACTGACAGCACCTTCAAAATCAGCCACTTCACGTAAGGGACAGAGAAGGGGCTGTTGAGAATGGGTGTGGCTGCTCGCAGGGAAAGGTAAGAAAGGACCCTGGGGAAGTGGTGGAGATGAAAGTGCCTGTCCTGAATAAGGGAATGGTCTATGAGGTGGGGATGAAAGAGATTCAGGAGGGTCAGGAAAAGAGGAGGTTGGGTGCTCTGGTGGATGGGTCTCATAAACGATTCTTAACCTAGAAGGACTGAGGCAAATACCATAGTCCCTTTGGAAAATTTTTTTGATCATGTATTCTAACACAGTACATTTACTAGGGGTACTTCCCATAGTGCCACTGGTACATACAAAACAAAAGACAAGTCCCAAGGACCTCTCTGATGCCTGTTCGTCCACCCTTCTTAAGAAGGTTTCAGTGGGTCTTTGGCTAAGGTGTCTCCGTATAAACCCCGGAGCGGAGGGCTAAACCACACTGTTATGCCAATCCGACCTCACACGGAATGCAATTTCAGGCCCATTCAAATTATGCGACTTTTCGTCTTGGAACTTCACATCATTCACACTAAACAGTCACACAGACAGACACCAACCTCAATGAAACCGAATGTGAACTCTCTACTAGAGCTCCTAGAGGGACTCAAACCCTCTACCCTACCTAACCTGGCCAAAAGGGACTCTAACCCCAAAGATTTTAGGCTAGGGGAATTGAGAGGGGTTGAGGAGTCTTTAGAGGGGGTTTGAATAGGAGTTTCGAGACCTAGGAGAATTTGGGTGGTATTGAAATTAAAGTAGAGAAAAAGAGAGAGATGGGAGCACAGGTAAAAGAAAGTTTGGATGTAGGGAACCCCCAGCCATTTGCCTGTGTGGCGGCAGAAATTATCAAGATCAGTGAGGATGTTAAAATCGAAAGTTCCTTGCTCAGGCCACTGAGAATTATTATTGGGGCCAAACATATTACAATAGAAAACTAGGTGTTTGGAACATAAGTCCTGAGCCAGCCCCAGGGCGTGGAGATTGAGTAAGAGACACCCCAGTGGAGTAGTTGGGTCTGGTTTGGAGTTCTGGTTACCCATGATCCCTTAAGTCCCAGTGGAAAGATTCTGTCAAAGGACCAGCGTCCCAGTCGTTTCACCAGAATCTTGGAAATGGAGACTGGAAGAAAACAGTGGACGTCTCCGCTGTAGTCTTCAGTCTGGAACGGCTGTGCCGTGGAAAGACAGGGAACCCAGGGCGTCCCCGGGGTACCTCAGCCTCTGGAGTGGAAGAGACTCTGACGTGAGCTCATGGTTTGTGAGGTACAGATCTTGTTTCATTTTTCTGCAAATGGATCTCCACTTTTGCCAGCACCATTTATTAAACAAACCTTCTCTTCCCCGTTTAATGGATTTTGGGCCTTTGTCAAAGA